ATTCCCCACTTATATCCTATTCAATCATTACCCCCTACATGACACAAGAGCTATTTAGAAAAAGGAGAAAAACCTAGATGTATGTATATATATATATGCATGTGTGTGTCTGTGAAGTGTGACCAAAGTGTAAGTAGGAGTAGCAAGATATCCCTGTTATCTAGCGTGTTTATGAGACAGAAAAAGAAACCAGCAATCCTACCATCATGCAAAACAGTTACAGGTTTCTGTTTCACAGTCATCTGGCAGGACGGTAGTACTTCCCTGGGTGGTTGCTGTCCACCAACCTACTACCTTTATGACTTTCCTAAAGTGTTTCACAACATTGCCAGCACGGCTTGCAATAGCTGTGCAAGGGTGATTTTCATCAAAAAAGGTTTGCACTTTAAGCCACATTGCACACATTTCCTTAATCTTTGAAGTAGGCAACTTCTTCAATTTCTCTATCCCCTCCTCTGGAGCAGTTTCCTCAGGTGTGGCCTCTTACTGTTGAAGATGATCTAGCAGCTCATCGGGGGTTAGTTCTTCATTGTCCTCTTCCACCAACTCTTCCACATCCTCCCCACTAACCTCACCAATATGAGCACTAGTTCCAGGCATTTTTTCCTGTTCACCTGGGTGTTAGTCAACTGTTGTGGGTCGCATCCTGGGGGACAAGATTAAGGACCCCAATGGAAATAAGTTACAGTCCTCGATGATGCACTGACTTACTTGGGTTATCCTGGATGGCTAACCCTCCGGGGTTAATCGCTTCTCGGTAATTGTTTCACGTTAAGCCACACCAACAACACACACTCCACATCTTTGAGTAATACAGCTGATGGTGGTGCAGCAACAACAGCTGATTGTGGTGCAGCAACAGTTGACCATGGTGCAGCAGCAGCTGTGGTGCAGCAACAGCTGACCATGATGCAGCAGCAGCTGTAGTGCAGCAACAGCTGACCATGGTGCAGCAACAGCTGACCATGGTGCAGCAGCAGCTGTGGTGCAGCAACAGCTGACCACGGTGCAGCAACAGCTGACTGGTCCAGTAACAGCTGACCGTGGTGCAGCAGCAGCTGACTGTGGTAAAGTAGTATTTATCACCCTTTTTACCACAGGGTTGGCACTAGAAGCTTTCTTTGGGCCCATGGTGGCTTATTTAGCAGTTACAAGCACTATAAATAATGGAATAATACAAAATGTATCGAATGTATGCATGCAACCGGCCACCCTGACTTGTAAACAATGACGGCAAGGCAGGCGCTCAGGCTGGACGGACAGGTTCGGGACGAGTCATGTTCAGAAACAGCTGATGGTGGTGCAACAGCAGCTGACTGTGCTGCATCAGCAGCTGACTGATCCAGCAACAGCTGACTGGTCCAGCAACAGCTGACTGGTCCAGCAACAGCTGAATATGGTGCAGCAGCAGCTGACTGATCCAGCAACAGCTGACTGGTCCAGCAACAGCTGAATGTGGTGCAGCAGCAGCTGACTGATCTAGCAACAGCTGATTGGTCCAGCAACAGCTGATCGTGGTGCAGCAGCAGCTGACTGATCCAGCAACAGCTACTGGTCCAGCAACAGCTGATCGTGGTGCAGCAGCAGCTGACTGGTCCAGCAACAGCTGACCGTGGTGCAGCAGCAGCTGACTGTGGTATGATAGTATTTCTCACCCTTTTTACCACAGGGTTAGCACTACAAGCTTTCTTGGGGCCCATGGTCACTTATTTTTCAGATGAAATCACTATAAAAAGGCTGTAATAATACGAAATGTTCCGACTGTATGGTTGAATGTTACCGCGGAGGCTGGCTTGTAAACAATGCCACTGGCAGAACAAGTGAGGCTGGTTCAGGCCGCATGGACATGTCTCGGACGAATCGCGTTGAGCGAATTTTTTAACACTATGCAAGGCAAAATTTTAGCGATAAAATGTATCGCTATGCGGATTTAACACTATGTGATGCCAATGTTATGCGGGGGTCCACTGTATTTCCAATACTGTCAGTCCTGAAACCAACCAAAATCATCTTGATTTCATAAGTATGTTTTCTTCTCTATCAAATGATGGCAAGAAACAGCCAATCAACCCATAAAAACCATCTAAGAAAACGCCTCAAATTCGTTATTTTAAACTAAACACACCACATAGGGCAGGATTATTTTATACTGTGCACACTCATCACACAGACCCATTCGCTCATATCTAGGCCAAAATTTACAGCTCACAGTTTATCTGAGTGAGCCGAGCTCATGACCTATACAGCGGTCCCTCAACAATTGTCCAGCCTCAAAGTCGTCCATTTTGGAAACAGTCCCATTATTTCGTCTAAACATTGGCTCACAAATGGTCCGTTAACTTGCTAATCGTCTTTCGTTCTGGACGCGTACTCACGCTCTGAGCCGCCTGGGCCTCCCTTCCCAGCCAGTGTGCCATTGTTTACCAGTAAGCTATGGTCCCCTCACATGTTCATATGAAATATTTCATAATATTCCATTGATTTTAGTGCTTGCAAGTGCTAAATAAGCTACCATGGCTCCAAAGAAAGCTCCTAGTGCCAAGCCTTTGGTAGAGAAGGTGAGAAATATGATTGAATTTAAGAAAAACATCATTGAACAATATGAAAGTGGCGTACGTGTGGGCGAACTGGCCAGGATGTATAACAAATCCCGTACAACCATATCTTCCATCATAGCCAAGAAAAAGGAAATCAAGGAAGCTGTTGTTGCAAAGGGGGTAAATATGCTGACAAAAATGAGATCACCAGTACTCGAAGATGTTCAGAAGTTATTATTGGTGTGGATAAACGAGAAACAATTAGCAGGTGATAGTCTTATGACGTCGCTTATTTGTGAAAAGGCTAGGCAGTTGCATGACGATTTGGTAAAGAAATTGCCTGCAACTAGTGGTGATGCGAGTGAATTTAAGGCCAGCAAAGGCTGGTTTGAGAGATTTAAGAAGTGTACTGGCATACACAGTTTGATAAGGCATGGTGAGGCTGCCAGTTCTGACAAAAAAGCGCCTAAAAAATATGTGCAGGAATTCAAGGAGTACACAGAGGCTGAAGGACTGAAATCTGAACAAGTGTTCAATTGTGACGAAACAGGCCTCTTTTGGAAGAAAATGCCAAAGAGGACCTACATTACTCAGAAAGAAAAGGCACTGCCAGGACACAAGCCTATGAAAGGCAGGCTGACGCTCATGTTCTGTGCTAATGCTAGTGGGGATTTCAAAGTGAAGCCGTTACTAGTGTACCATTCTGAAAATCCCAGTGTGTTTAAGAAAAACAATGTTATGAAGAGTAAATTGTGTGTGTTTTGGAGATCTAATAGTAAGGCATGGGTCACAAGGGACATTTTCGTCGAGTGGTTCAATGAAGTGTTTGGCCCTAGTGTGAAGAATTACCTCCTGGAAAAGAAATTGGATCTCAAGTGCCTCCTAGTAATGGACAATGCACCTGCTCATTCTCCAAACTTGGATAACCTAATTCTGAAGGAGTTTGGGTTCATCACAGTAAAGTTCTTGCCCCCGAATAACGCTCCTCTCCTCCAGCCCATGGACCAGCAAGTCATTTCAAACTTTAAAAAACTCTACACCAAAGCAATGTTTGAAAGGTGCTTTAATGTGACCTCAGACACTCACCTGACCCTAAGAGATTTTTGGAAAGAACACTTCAGTATTCTCCATAGCACAAGCCTTATAGGTAAGGCTTGGGAGGAAGTGACTACCATGACTTTGAACTCTGCTTGGAGGAAATTGTGGCCAGATTGTGTCCACAAGAGGGATTTTGAAGGGTCTGAGGCAGCCCCTGGTGAACCTGTCAGTTGTGAACTCTATTGTCACACTGGGGAGTTCCAAGGGGTTGGATGTGAGTTTGGAGGATGTGGAAGAGTTGGTGGAGGACCACAACGAAGCGCTAACCACTGAGGAGCTGCAAGAGCTTCAGCAGGGAGAGCAACAGATCGCAGCTCAGAATCTTGCTGCAGAGGAGGAGGAAGAGAGATGGAAGAAGGTGCCTTCTGCAGAAATTAAGGAGATTTTTGAAATGTGGGGTAGGATGAAAAGATTTATGGAGAAATATCACCCTGAGAAGGATGTTGCAAGCCATATCGGCAACTTGTACAGTAACAGAGTCTTGGCCCATTTTAGGGAAGTTTTAAAGAGACGCCAGAAACAGAACTCTCTGGACAGTTCTTTTGCAAGACAGGACTCCAGTGACTCTCAAGCTGGTCCTAGTGGCATTAAGAAACAGAGAAGAGAAGTAACCCCAGAAAAGCACTTGGTACATGAGGTGTTGATGGAAGGGGATTCCCCTTCCAGAGTTACTAATGCAATCTGTCTCCTCCTCCAGTATTCCATACACTAAGAAGAATTGCCAATAAAGGTAAGTGTTATGCTGTTAATGTTTCATTCATCATGTGCCATTGTATTGTTTATGTACTACATCTATATTTCATGTAAAAAAAATTTCTGTTTTAATACTTCTGGGCGTCAGGAACAGATTAATTGTATTTACATTATTTCTTATGGGGAAAATTGATTCGAAAATCGTCTATTTCGATAAGTCCCACTTCCAGGAACGGAATATGGATGATAATTGAGGGACCACTGTATCTACGTGAGGGGACCCTGGCATCAATAACGTACATGTAGTTCTACGTGACGGCCACTCAAAGGGTTAACCAACAGTTTTGCAAAAGAAATTTCAGACAACGTCGATCTGTCCAGTTCCATCATCATATCACAAATCTGCTTGCCTGTCAGCTAATTACAATACGTAGACAAATATCATATTTTCCTCAAAGGATGATATTATAGTAATCTTTTGAACATAAGTAGTGTAGGAGTTACATCACTGATCAGGAAAGAATGTGGTCACAACGTAAACTTAACAGAAGTGCTGAAAAAATATTGCCATATTGTAAGTCCACCTTGCTGCTGTTGTAGAAACCAGACAATACTAAGGAAGGGGTTAATTTAAATTGAAATAAATAATGCTGAAAATAAAAAAATACTAACCATCCTTTTCATTATCATAATTACTAATGCTGTAACGAGTTTCAAAGTCTACCGCTTCATCTTCCTCTAGCAGCTTCTTGCTTTCTGAAGCCTTTTTTTGTCCTTCTGAGGTAAGTGCTATACACAAATCCTCTTTATTTTCCTTTCCATTAACTACAGCATCCTCTTCTATTTCTTCGTCTTCTTCATTGTCAAGTTCTTCCAGATCTCTGAGAAAATAATTGTTTGCACTTTAATAATAAGTCAATTTTTTTTTTAAAAAGGGTTAAAAAAAATAAAATTCAAGATTCTAAAGTTGTCCTCAAATGATTCACACTTGTCAAATACACAAAGAACCTCAACAGATGGACACATACTTGTCAAATACATGACAAACCTCTCTGGATGGAATGTGCAATTAAAATGTTAAAAATTCTTCAATTAAAAATATATACACAGTATGAACAATAAAAAAAATCTTAAATTTAATACCTACAGAAAAAGTACTAACAATGTACATAATCTTATTCACAGGTTCACTACGTTTTAAAATAATGGTATTCCATGGTGCCATATAAATATTCATTGTATCTTACTGCATATTAATCAGCCACAAAATGAATATACAGTAAACATCTAGCTAGACAAAGGCTCAATGCATACATTTAAAATAGCCAAGAAGTAGACCAAATCTGCTATACTGAATGGCTGTCTGAGCCAGTTGTACGCTCAATAAAATGGACTAACCCTGCATAAACGCAAGGTTGTACAACCTGAGGCTTGTCTTGGACATGTCAATCTTCACTGCTCCTGGGCAGCGGGGGTTAGTGTCTCAGCCCTTCTCAGTTTGTTACTGTCTGAGCATGCTCATACCATTTGTCATTTCATATCCCATTTTTCGTTGGATTTACAGTGTTCGTAATCATTTTATTAAAGTACCATGCATAGTGTTATTAACAATGGCCTCTAAAGCAAGTGATGGTGCCAAGAAGAAGCATGTGACTTTAAATGTTAAGCAGAAACTTGAGCTAATAAGGAAGCTGGAGACTGTCATTTCAGTGGTCCGGGTGTGTGAGGAGTATGGTGCAGCAAAACAGTGTCTGACATTCAAAAAAGCAAGAAAAAGCTTACAGAATATGCTATGAAGTACAGTATAGATAGGTGCTACCCATCTACCTGTATGTCTCCCGAACTATGTGCGATGTTACTGCTGGAGCTTTACAGCTTCTCTGACTCAGAATAAGTTATTCTGGGTCACCAATGAACCATATGGGTATACTATACATCTGTAAGTTTATCTATCCACCAGGAAAGGTAAGAAAAATTATACACTCTATTGTACTGTGCTGTGCTTTTAATTTTCTTTTCTGGTACAGGTAATACTTCATTGTACTCTAGTTTATTCTTGATGTGTCCAGTAATTCATCAATACAGTGGACTAAGTCTGTCTTACGAGGTGTTTGTCAATGTCCAGTAGTCAATTAAGTGGACTACATTTGCTTAATCAAAACTTTCAATATAACAGATTCTTAGCTAAAGCAAACACCCCTCTCCCCTATTAATCCATTTTATAGAAAGTTTCCTATATCATGATGCACAGTCACAACATGAACAAAGAGCACCAAGATTATCAGTTAAACCATGTTGATACAGAGCCATGACAATTTTTCACATATACACACAGTATCAAGATAATTAATCACATGCACATTCACCAAGACAATCATTCACACATACACAGTACAAAGATAACCAGTCACATGTACATACAGAACCATCAAAGTAAAAGTAAAATGCAAAGTGCATTATCAAAAAAATTATTCTTTATGATGATTACAGTACTCACTCTACTTTGCCCTTTGTTTCTTGAATTATCCGTCCCAAATCCTCTTTTGAAATTTCAACCTGAAAAGTAAAACATTTATAATGTAAAATATAAAATTTAGAAAAAAAAAAAAAAATTGTAGTACTGTTCGTGCCTAGGTGACTTTGGTTTGAATAACTATTCATTTGGTGTCTATCATCAAACTTATTAAATTACACAAATAACCCGCACATAACAGAGAGAAGCTTACGACGATGTTTTGGTCCGACTTGGACCATTTACAAAGTCACACTAACCAGAAGTGGAGCAGGACGGCTATATATAGGCAGGAAGAGGTGTTTTTTTTTTTTTTTTTTTTAAACAAGTCAGCCGTCTCCCACCGAGGCAGGGTGGTGGTGTTATTTATTAAATTATGTATTATCAATGCATAAGCCTATGTTTAACATGCTATCTTTGAGTGCAGGATAATTTAATTATTTATTTATTTATTTTATGGCTTTGCAAACAGTACACTGAGATTTTTATATTTACAATACAGTGGACCCCCGCATACCGTTGGCATCACATAACGTTAAATCCGCATACCGCTACATTTTATCACCAAGATTTTGCCTCGCATACCGCTAAAAAACCCACTCAACGCTGTTCGTCCAAGACGCGTCTAATGTGCGCCCTTAGCCAGCCTCACATGTTCCGCCGGTGGCATTGTTTACCAGCCAGCCTCCATGGTAACATCCAAGCATACAATCGGAACATTTCGTATTATTACAGTGTTTCTGGTGATTTTATCTGCAAAATAAGTGACCATGGGCCCCAAGAAAGCTTCTAGTGCCAACCCTACAGCAATAAGGGTGAGAATTACTATAGAGATGAAGAAAGAGATCATTGATAAGTATGAAAGTGGAGTGCGTGTCTCCGAGCTGGCCAGGTTGTATAGTAAACCCCAATCAACCATCGCTACTATTGTGGGCAACAAAAAGGCAATCAAGGAAGCTGTTCTTGCCAAAGGTTTAACTGTGTTTTCGAAACAGAGATCGCAAGTGATGGAAGATGTTGAGAGACTCTTATTGGTGTGGATAAATGAGAAACAGATAGCAGGAGATAGCATCTCTCAAGTGATCATAAGTGAAAAGGCTAGGAAGTTGCATCAGGATTTAATTAAAAAAATGCCTGCAACTAGTGATGATGTGAGTGAATTTAAGGCCAGCAAAGGTTGGTTTGAGAGATTTAAGAGGCGTAGTGGCATACATAGTGTGATAAGGCATGGTGAGGCTGCCAGTTCGGACCACAAAGCAGCTGAAAAATATGTGCAGGAATTCAAGGAGTACATAGAAACTGAAGGACTGAAACCTGAACAAGTGTTTAATTGTGATGAAACAGGCCTGTTTTGGAAGAAAATGCCAAGCAGGACCTACATTACTCAGGAGGAAAAGGCACTCCCAGGACATAAGCCTATGAAAGACAGGCTTACTCTGTTGATGTGTTCCAATGCTACTGGTGATTGCAAAGTGAAGCCTTTATTAGTGTATCACTCTGAAACTCCCAGACGTTCAGGCAAAAGAATGTCCTCAAGGAAAATTTGTGCGTGCTGTGGAGGGCAAACAGTAAGGCATGGGTCACTAGGGACTTTTTCTATGACTGGTTACACCATGCATTTGCCCCCAATGTGAAAGATTACCTAACTGAAAAGAAATTAGAACTTAAGTGCCTCCTGGTGTTAGACAATGCCCTGGTCATCCTACAGACGTGGCAGAGCGACTTTATGGGGACATGAAATTCATTAAGGTGAAGTTTTTGCCTCCTAATACCACTCCTCTCCTGCAGCCCATGGACCAGCAGGTTATTGCAAACTTCAAAAAACTGTACACAAAAGCTTTGTTTGAAAGGTGCTTTGTAGTGACCTCAGAAACTCAACTGACTCTAAGAGACTTTTGGAGAGATCACTTTAATATCCTCAATTGTGTAAACCTTATAGGTAAGGCTTGGGAGGGAGTGACTAAGAGGACCTTGAACTCTGCTTCGAAGAAACTGTGGCCAGAATGTGTAGACCAAAGGGATTTTGAAGGGTTTCAGGCTAGCCCTGAGAATCCTATGCCAGTTGAGGAATCCATTATGGCATTGGGAAAGTCCTTGGGGTTGGAGGTTAGTGGGGATGATGTGGAAGAGTTGGTGGAGGAGGACAATGAAGAACTAACCACTCATGAGCTGATAGATCAACTTCAACAGCAAGAGGCCAGACCTGAGGAAACTGGTTCGAAGGAGGGGAGAGAGAAATTGAAGAAATTGCCTACTACAAAGATTAAGGAAATCTGTGCAAAGTGGCTTGAAGTGCAAACCTTCATGGATGAAAATCACCCTCACACAGCTATTGCAAGCTGTGCTGGTGACTATTACACTGACAATGTTGTGAAACACTTTAGGGAAGTCATAAAGGAACGAGAGGTACAGGCCACTATGGACAGATGTGTTGTGCGACAGAACTCCAGTGACTCTGAAGCTGGTCTTAGTGGCATTAAAAGAAGAAGGGAAGTAACCCCAGAAAAGGACTTGACACCTCAAGTCTTAATGGAAGGGGATTCCCCTTCTAAACACTAACACTCTCTCCTCCTCCCATCCCATCAATCATCACCAGATCTTCAATAAAAGTAAGTGTCATGTAATTGTGCATGCCTTTTTCAGTTTGTGTGTATTAAAATTAATATTTCATGTGGTAAAAATTTTTTTTTTTCATACTTTGGGGTGTCTTGCACGGATTAATTTGATTTCCATTATTTCTTATGGGGAAAATTCATTCGCATAACGATAATTTCGCATAACAATGAGCTCTCTTGCACGGATTAATATTGCTATGCGGGGGTCCACTGTAGTGGGTTGCAATGCAAAGAGAGCCTCTATTATACCTAGGCATTATGGGTCAACTTAACATTATTGGCTTACAGGCTACTTAATACTAAGGGTTTTATCATAGTTGTACAGTAGAACAGTAATTATTTCATAGTTGAACAGTAGGTTATTAATTATAAGTGAATAGAATTTGTATAAGACAAAGGATATATTCATATAGTCTAAAATGCTTATTGTGAAAAAAATGGTTCAATTATATTCCTGTCAACAATGGATAAGAGGTTCAAAGTGATTGTTGAAGTTATGATGTGGGAGTACATAGGCGAGTATGTGTGTATTGAATATTTAGCATTTAGTCTATGGTGATTAAGTGGCTTTTGAGAAGAGTCTTAAACTGATTTTCAGACTGGGTTACTTTAATAAATTGTGGTAATGAATTCCATATTTTAGGGCCCTTTATGTGCATAGAGTTTTTACATAGTGTGATATGGACACGAGGTAGATCAAAAAGAGATCTGTGTCTTGTGTTGTGGTCATGTGTCCTGTTTAAGTTGGTGAGGAGAAGTTTGAGTGGAGGGTTTATATTTGTGTGTATTGTTCTGTGTATGTAGTAGGCACATGAATAAGTATGGATGTTCTTAATGGTGAGCAGATTCAGACTTTTGAAAATTGGTGGAGTATGCTGGCGGGAGTGGGAATTCGTTATCATTCTTACTGCTGCCTTTTGCTGGGTTATGAGGGGTTTTAGGTGATTGGATGTTGTTGATCCCCATGCACAAATTCCATATGTAAGATAAGGGCATATGAGTGTATGGTACAGTGCCAGGAGAGCTGATTGTGGAACGTAGCATCTTATCTTTGATAGTATGCCTACAGTCTTGGAGATTTTCTTGGTGATTTGTTGTATGTGTATCCGGAACTTAAGGCTACTGTCAAGGTGGATACCTAGGAATTTTCCTTCTGTGAGCCTTGTGACTGATGATCCATTTATTGTTATGTTAATGGGATCATTAGCAGCTTTGTTTCCAAACTGAATGAAATAGGTTTTATCGGTATTCAGGGTAAGTTTATTAGTCATCATCCAGGCAGATATTTTCTGCAATTCGGCATTGACTGTGTTTGCTAGTATGACTGTGTTTAGGTGGGAAAAGACATATGTAGTGTCATCTGCAAATAATATGGGTTTGAGTAGCTGTGATGCATTCGGTAGATCATTGATGTAGATGAGAAAGAGGAGTGGTCCGAGGATGCTTTCTTGTGGGACTCCTACTGTGATTGGTTGGGTGGAAGAGTTTGCATCATTTGCATACACATATTGAGTTCTGTTACTAAGGCATGATTTTAGGTAGTTGAGGGAGTGGCCTCTGATACCATAGTGCGTTAATTTGGAGTACAGCAGTTCATGGTCGACTGTATCGAAAGCTTTACATAAATCAATGAAAATGCCCAGTGGGACTTCTTTCTTTTTGAGTACAGTGTATATTAGTTCTAGCATGTGTATGATAGCATAATTCGTGCTTTTATTATTCCTGAATCCAAATTGATGAGGGTTTAATATGTTGTGTGAGACGAGGTAGGAATAGATCCGTCTATGAATTAATTTTTCAAAGATTTTAGAGAGCAGTGGTAAGTTAGATATTGGTCTATGATTATTCAAGTCAGCTTGGTCACCTCCTTTGTGAATCGGAGTGACCCTCGCTATTTTGAGGATTGTTGGGAAGGTAGCTGATTCAATGGATTTGTTAAAGAGCGTTGCATACACTAATAAATCAACAAATATGAGAACATTCCATCTTAAACAAAAATATAATTGTGTGCTGTACAGCACATATTAATTGGTATGGGCTGAGATATAATTCTGTACCAGTTTTTTTCATGTTTGCACTGTGCAGTACTTTCAATAATTTTAATTAAAATAATATTGTAATTTCCAATACTGTATTACATTTTATTTTATATAAACTTCTTTCCATATTATTATTATTAAAAGCACTATGGGAATACTTTAAATAAAGTTTAAGAGATGTAAAATACAAAAAGAAAAAAATTTAAACAAAGGACAGAATAAATTATTGTCAAATCATTCTCAAAGGTGTATTATTGGAGAATGAGTTATAACTTGCCTTCTCTGGGTTTGCTGCTGCAACTCCCTTTGGTACCCAGGCCGCACAAGTGATAAAACTCACACGCTTCTCATCCTCTTCCATTCTGCTAAGTCAGTCTCTGAAATACGTGTAATTACACAAATAAACATTTTGTTTGTTAAAGAGCTGAAAACCTCAATATGGAGCTTTGATGGTTCACTGTTAAGAATAATACAGTTTGTGAGTACAAATGCAAGGAAGACATTGATATTTTATGATAAAGAGGATGGCTTGATTTAGATTAGTAACCCCAAAGGGTTAATCATTCATGGTAATACAAAAATATCAAAGCATTGTGGTTTATTTTCCTGGGGTCTTTCTTAGGTTATTTCTCAAGATGCAACCCACAACAGTAAATGAACTCCCAAATGTTTATTTACTGCTATGTAACAGGGGCAGCAAATGTTGGGAGACTTGCCCATATATCCTACTTTATCCTGGGTTTTGCCAATGCACTTTTTTGGTTGTAACTGAATTTGCTACTATTGTGCTAAGGCTGACTGAATAAGGTAAGGTTTTAGGATAAGGGGTTGGTTATGTTCGTTTCCCTACCATAAATAAACCTATAATATCTTTGTAGAATTTTCCTAGGTTAAACACATAACTGTTTGAGTAACACATAACCACGTAACTTCTTTGTAGGTATGCATGATGCTTGCACAAATTGAAATAAAAAACTACTAACTAGAGTGGCAGGATTTGGTTGGTTGGGTTATATTTGACTTAGCAGAACTATTTTCTCAGTTGTGATAACAGTACACAGCAACCTATGTTTATGTAAATAAGCTTTCTTAAGGCCATTTCTGTTTGTGCCATATAACCAACAAATTTATATTTCTTTGTAATGATTACAATGTGTGACATTTTATATAGTATTGTCAAGTACAAAGAAAGCTGCTAACATACTGGGACATTTCAGGCAGAATTATCCTAATGCTAAAAGACAACTTAAAATTAGACAAGGCAATACAGTACATATGTACTGTGTATAAGGAGCTTAATGTTTAAACATATTGCTTGTAGACATAACACATATACTATACTTTACATGCCACACCATATGTCATTCATTATTATTATTATATTGACAAAGAAGCACCAAACCCATAAGAGCCATAAAGTACCTACATACACAAATAACAGCCACATAGGAGTATATGTGCGGCTATTTTTGTATTGTTCCAGTCACTGTATCGTGGCTTTTCATTGTTCAGTACCCGCATAATGAAAAGTACATTATTATTATTATAATCAAAAAGAAAATGAAAAGTACAAATAGTTTAACAAACAAGTGTCAGCTATCTCACCAACGTTACCAAGTCATTGATCTGACAAAAATCTGATATTTTCCTACTGGTGACGAGTTCTCCCTTCAATAAAGCTAGCCTAATTATTATTATAACCAAAACTAAGTGCTAAACCCACCAGGGTCAAGATCTAGCTGAAAATAACCTCCTAACAAACCTAAATTTTATACAGGTAATTCATGGACCCCAACGGAAATTTATTTTTTATTTATTTTTTCTTTGGACATGATACATAGTTGTACAAAGAAATATAGTGATTGGGTGCACATGCCAAAAGCCCCTTGTATGGGTATTGGGTTATCCTAGGTAAGCTATATATATGCTGCCATGTATGGTAATTTATGTAACCATTTATGTGTACCTGTACCTGAACAAACTAAGTGGTACCTAATAACAAGTCACTGAAACTGCCTCCTGGATAACTCGCTGACGTCGGTGACTTTAGAAGTTGGTGACTTAGTAAGTTTACTTAGGTATAGGTACACGTATGTAAAAATTAAATAATTACAATGATTTTCGGGGCACATCTCGTACTCGTAGATATGTTGGTCATACACATTTATTATGCATTATTATTACATTCCTGAGAAAGTTTTCATTACTATAATGGGGAGTGCTAAACCCTTCGGGGGTGGTCAAGTGCCTGGGGAATGGGAGGCAGTCAGGTTCGATGCAAGGATCAGGAGGCAGCTCCAATTCCTTGGATCAAGAGCCCTTCACAGCTCAGGGTTTGGGTCATGCAGGCACAGCATTGCAGCATCACCAGCAGCTGCTCTAATGTACAGAGAAATTTCAGTATTAACTCACTGTAATTGATCTTCGATAAAGAAAAAACCTGCTCCACTTCCTTACTGGTTCAAACACAGGATCTTGGGAGGAAATAAGACAGTAATAAAACACCTAATAAATTGTCGTCACTAGGGGTTATTCAGGGCTAGTAAGGATGACGCTTCTCGGAGTCCGCCACCAAAATAAAGAGAAACTGCCTAAATTTGGGCTGAATGAGGAGGGAAACATGATTTCCTCTTGGAAGAGAAACTCGAGTAATAAACTACCACTTTCTATCGGGTGGATCCAAGGTCTACATACCTGAAAAGGGATTTAGACCCCAAGGTCTGAAGAGCTACAGAGGCAAACGTCTTCACTCACCACGTGTTGTTGTTCCTCTGTCATTAAGGGCTACTGCACCACCAGCCATTTTAATAAGTTTATTCAGGTACAGGTATATATAAATAGTTACATAAATTATCATACATAGCAGCATATCTATATAATACTAGGATAACCCAAAAAATTCAGGCAAAGTAGCTTATTTCCATAAGTGTGAACATGATAATGATGTTATGACCTGACAAATTTAATGATTCATCTGGGTGGATAGTTGTTAAGAAAACATGTGAAAACTTGTCCCAAACAAGAAAAGTGGATCTGTTTAGTTAGTTCAGTTGTGTCGCCTGAGTGTATTGTGCACCTGCAGCTCATCCTGTGACCAGTGGCACAAAATTATTATAATCATTACTAAGCGCTAAACCCTCAAGGGTCATGCAGACTCGTTAGCACAAATAAATAATGTTACAGAGGTCATGATAGGTCTTTGTCAGACTCCACCGATCATTGTTATATTACTAGAAAGAAATATGAGCCATTTTATATCCGAGTAGTATAATACGAAAAACGATCTAAAAAAATATTTTATTTTATTGCCACTAAAAACTGGCCATAACTGGATTTAACTCTCCACAATAACAATCCCTTCATTTAGTTTAGTCGCTGTAAAATGTGAATACAAATTGAGAATCCAGACCTCCACATCAACACCCCACTGGAAATAAATCACTTTTGACTTTTGGGGAGAGTCAGTCTAGGTAATTTACATACATGTTACTATGTAAGACAATTTTTATTCAGTACAAAAGTTATCATTGTACTTAAATAAGGTTATTCATGCATTTACTTAATTGCTGCGTGTGGCAGGTGACCGGCCTTCTCTTAAAGCTCTGAAAACAAATGCTACAGCAGCTGTTCATATGGATGAAAATATTTATATTTCGACTTTGATTCTATAATTCCACTCACTGTAATTACAAAATGCACAATAATCAGAAAACTCGTAGGATGCACAGCATTTCCGGCAAACAAATGTTTCATAATAAATTCCTCAAATGATGTAGTTGAAGTTTTGGCAGTAAAGATCGAGAACCAAAACCTGGTCATTGTGGTTGCATACAAGCCTCCGGATGCAATTTCCCAACAATTCTAGGAACCGCTTTTGAAAACTGATCACTGTCTGGAAAATCTTCCAGCTCCTGCCCCCAACATCTTGCTCCTGGGGTGTTTCAACCTAAGGCACCTAAAATGGAGGAACGTAGCAATGTTGTAGCAGAGATAACATCAGGAGGCAGCTCAGATGAAAACTCGCACACATGAGCTTTTAAATTTCTGCACCAAATTCACTTTAAACCAGCAAATAATAGAGCCTACAATACTGGAGAATACATTGGACCTCATCTCCACTACACCAATACATAAAGGTGGTGACCCTACAGATGTAAACAACTATAGGCCAATGTCAAACTTACCATTGCTATCCAAAATATTCGAGAAACTTGTGCACAGGAGACTGTATTCATTTATAACGTCACAAAACATACTCAACCTCTGCCAATTTGGATTCAGAAAAAATAAAAGCACCAATGATGCAATTATAAAAATGCTAGACATGCTTTACACAGCATTGGAACATAAGGAATATCCACTAGGAATTTTTATTGACCTAAGAAAAGCGTTTGACACAGTTCACCACGGCATCCTACTCCACAAACTTGACCATTATGGTATAAGAGGCCATGCGCTTGCATATTTTAAATCCTACCTTTCTAACAGGTATCAGTATGTCACCATTAAAGGCACAGCCTCATCAATACGGCCACTTGATACTGGAGTTCCGCAGGGAAGTGTCCTTGGACCTCTGCTCTTCCTCATTTACATCAATAATCTTCCAAACATATCCCAACACCTGAAACCCATTCTCTTTGCTGACGACACGACTTATGTCATCTCCCACCCTAATCTTGCCACCCTCAACACCATTGTTAACGAGGAGCTGCTCAAAATATCGACTTGGATGACAGCCAATAAACTTTCACTTAACATTGACAAAACTTACTATATTATGTTTGGTAGCAGAGCAGGTGTTGCGCAACTTAACATTAAGATGGACAACACTCTAATTGCCAGACATAATGAGGGCAAATTCCTTGGCCTGTACCTCGACAACAACCTAAATTTCAGCACCCATATCCAACACATAACAAAAAAGTATCCAAAACGGTGGGGATCCTCTCCAAGATACGATACTACGTGCCGCAAACTGCCCTTCTCACACTATACCATTCACTTATATATCCATACCTCACCTATGCTATCTGTGCTTGGGGTTCAACTGCAGCAACACACTTAAAGCCAATAATAACCCAACAAAAAGCCGCAGTAAGAATAATCAGTAAATCCCATCCGTGGCAACATACCCCCCAACTCTTCATAGATCTAAACTCCCTGTTCAGAACATCCACACTTGCTACTGTGCAATCTATATTACAGGACCTTAAATTCCAATATTAACCTTGACCTAAAACGCTTTCTTGATAGTTGTGACAGGATCCACAGGCATAACACCAGACACAAACATCTCTATGACATTCCCCATGTCCGACTAAACCTTTACAAAAATTCAATGTATTTCAAAGGACCTAAAGTCTGGAACACCCTACCTGAAAACTCTAGAACTGCAGGCACACTCATCACTTTCAAAACTACAGTTAGAAAACATCTTATCTCCCTGATACACCCCGACAACTAACTGGTGGTTCACAATTACACTCACTCACCCACTGACTATAAACAGAAATACTAATCTTAAAATAATGAATCCTAACTAGTCATAAGTTTGCCTATGATACTCCAATATAGACACTTTGTATTGTGCTAAAACAAAAGCATTCACATTGCTAAACTCACAGATTATAATGTAGTCACCTTGCCTTAATACCATAATCTGTAAGGATTTAATGTTAAGAATTAATCTAAGTCTGCCGAAATGCCTAGCCATGCTAGGTGTTCTAGTGGCCCCCTCTGTAATTAGTATTTTATAACATGTAAACCACACAATATCCAAATCCTGTAAACCCCACATTGTAACCCTTATAGAGAATAAACTTGATTTGATTTGATTTGATTTGAACAATGATGATCTGATGCGAAATATTACCATGTCAAAGACAATATACTCAGATCACAACATAATAGAGGTTCAGACATGTATGTGGGGAGCTCCAGACAGACAAAATGTGATCAGTCACGAGAGAGCCTTCACCAAATTCAACTTCAGTAACAAAGACATAAGGTGAGACCAAGTAAACCAGGTCCTAAATGATATAAACTGGGAAGATAGCTTAAGCAACATGGAAGCAAACCTATGTCTAGAACAAATTAACTCTGTGGCACTCGAGGTATGCTCAAGGCATATTCCTTTAAGGAAAAGGAGGAGAAGATGTAAACTAGAAGGAGAAAGGCACTCCCTATACAAGGAAGGCAAAGTATAACAGCGGCTAAAAGAGATCAATATGTAGGGAGACACTGGTCAGAGAAATTGCAAACATTGAACTAAAGTTAAAGGAATCTTACAGGAGCTAAGATACGTGGGAAGAACTAAAAGCCATAAATGAAATTGAAAGAAACCCAAAATATTTTTCTTATGCCAATTCAAAGTGGAGAACAACATCCAGTATTGGGCCCTTACTTAACCGAGATGGGTCCTACACAGATGACAAAAAAGAAATGAGTGAGCTACTTAAGTCCCACTATAGCTCTGATTTTAGGTCCGGTGACCTCGCAGGCCACTTGCAGAGATCACTGGACCTAACTGTTTGTGACTTCTTTCTTTGGAGGTACGTGAAGAACACAGTTTACGTGCCACCACTACCTGCAACCCTGGAGGAACTGAAAATTTTGATCACTGAACCAATTTGCATAACACCAGACATGCTGCAGAGTGTCTGGACCGAACTGGACTATCACATCGATGTTTACCGAGCAACCAGAGCGACGCACATTGAGTGTCTTTAATGCTACACTATACCACATGAAAATGAATGAAATCCTGCGTCTGAAGCTACTAACTGTGAAGGATTATTACAATAAAGTTATATGTTATACCTGTTTGAAATCAAGGAATTCGCAAGAGCAGGCGAAATATACACAAACACTGATCTCTGGCTGAAGGAGACTCGAACCTACGAACCTTGGAACAAGGTACACAGTGCTATACCAATCTCACCACACTGGACAATACCTTGGCGTCCAGCTTGCCTTCTCTCTGAAAGCTGGCTGCCTTGGATCAACGTGTAGGGCGAGCTGCACGCCAAGGTATTGGTCCAGTGTGGTGAGATTGGTATAGCACTGCGTACCTTATTCCAAGGTTCATAGGTTCGAGTCTCCTTCAGCCAGAGATCAGTGTTATATATATATATATATATATATATATATATATATATATATATATATATATATATATATATATATATATCGTGCCGAATAGATAAAATTGGTCAGTTAGCAAGAACTCATTTAAAATTAAGTTTTCTAAAGTTTTCTTTTATACGTTTAAAGATATATATATTTTTTTCCATTTACGTTAATGTAAAAATTAATAATTTTGTACCAAAAGAACGTTAGTAAACTTACATAACCTTATTATAAGAAGAGCGAATTTAGCCTAATCCAACTATATATATTTTAGGTAAGTGTCCGGGGCCCAAAACTGTTCAATTGCCTCCCAGCATACATAAGGGGGATTACCAATAGACCCCTGGCTGTCTTCAAGAAGGCACTGGACAGGCACCTAAAGTCAGTACCCTGACCAACCGGACTGTGGTTCGTACGTCAGCTTGCGTGCGGCCAGCAG